GAATTGACTAATGGATATGTTGACGTTCTTTTATTCCTGACAAGATTTTAAATTGGTCTCTGTGTTTGCTCAGCGATTTAGAATTACGGCACTACCTCATATCCGCCGTAGAACGTGTTTGTTGAGTCTTCGATCGAGCCGTGATAAAGCACGTCTGCGTCTACGGATTTTTTTTGTTTATACGTCGTTATTCAACCTACGTATTAAAATGTCGGATATAGAGAAAGTCATGGGGGACTTCAATTAAAGAGTAGGAGAAAAATTCACAATTTTGGAAGAGTTGGACATTGGGGCCTAACTGGAAATTTCTGTTCAAAAAAAAAGAAAGAAGAGAAAAAAAGGGCAGCAGGAGGCGGTCACTACTTAAGTTAATTAGACAGAGTCAAATTTAGCTCATAGGACACTTAAAACGACGCAAAGAGCTGGAACATTTGGCTTTACAGGAAACACTGAGGGCAAATGAGTCCCATATTAGATCAAGAATAATAGTTTGGGGTTTTGTTTTTGTTTGTTATTTTTAAGCTTGAACAAATGGTGACCAGAAAAGTCCAGGACAATTAAAAGTTTCAAGAGCGCATGCAAACAGAGAAACAAATATACGATTCGTCCTTCGCAGAGAAGTGACTGATGGGTACTAGAAAAATAAAAAGCATTTGTGTAGCTCAAATAATTATCTTCTCTATCATTTGTTAAGTAGGATTTGGTTTAAGATGTGCCATACAACAATTAGCTAAAGATAAATTATCGTTCAATATTATACTGGCTATGTCAAAAGAAATAGCAGTCGAATAACTGAATTTACATTCTCTTTGAAACCACATTTAAATTAAAACTTACTTGTATTGTTTTAAAATACAGATTTTTGAACGGAAGTGAGCTTCGGCTGTACTTGTCAGGGCCAATCAGAGGGTTGAGTTAAGACATCCCAATGAAAAGGCGATTTCATAAAAATTCTCCCCAATATGGGAATCGAACTCACGTTATGTTTTTCCAAAACAATGGGCCTCTATGAATGTGCTTCCAGGCAGTTAGTTGCCTATGCCATGTTTTGATATGAAACTTTGACATGCTTATTTTCTAAGTACGCTTTAAAAATATTTGCAAGCCTGCTGAAAGGAACCTTATGATGCATTTTGTAGAAATACGTTTTATTGAATTTTATTGTACAACAATCATCTGAACAATTTGTGAAAATTTTTTCAGATAGCTGTAATTTGCGAGATCTGGTTAATGTTTTCAGGTAGGATGCAGAAACCGAATTTTGAAAATGGCTTTTAAATTTTCCTTAGATCCGGATCGAGTTCTACTCCTAATGAATATCGATCGATCGGCCAGCCGAGTTTTACCTCGGAACCTTTGACAAAACTATTAATACGCAAAGGGCAAGTTTAAAAAAGCCTTTTCAGACAATCTAACACGTTCAAAGTTTAAAAAAAACATTTTTAAAGCTAATAATCTGTCAATTAGAACCAGACATTTCTCAAAATTGACTTGGTTTTGCTCACGAAGAGTGGGAAGGTACGTGTATGCGTGAGGCCTCTCTTCCTTTACCATGCCAGTGTTTTCCGGCGCGTTAGACAGCACTTGCAAGGATACAAACAGACCTACATTGTTGATATTCGATGTTATGGGATTGATTTTTATGAATGACTTGTTGAAATCTTCGTAAATGACAATGTTAGGAATTTCGAAGAGTGGTTTTGGGCTTTGCTTTGCTCATGAAGTGGAATGGGGTATAGATACGCTAAGCTTGCAATTCCTTACTGTTTTATTACACTAATGGCAATTTCCCAGATCGAGTCGGGTAACAAGCTAACATAAATTCGTATACAGTGTGATGGGGTTCGTTTTTAATGAATGAGTCGTCGCTAGAAACCTTCCACGAATAGGACTCTGACAGCATATGCTCTCACGGTATCTCTGTAAATACGTAGGATGGCTTGTGTGGGAAAAACATTTTCAAGAATACATTTTTATTGTTGAATAAACACAAATCCCTGTAAATATCGATAGATGTTGTTGTTTTCAAATCCCTTTAGCTGAAATATTGCTAGATGAATAGCTAGATAGCAAATTTGTGATGGAAATCAATTTTATGTGAATAATATTTTTCAAATTGCCCTATCTTAATTTGAGCAAAAGAGTCTAATGGTACTTTTCACTAGGTATGCACACACATAACAATAACTATTCCAACATTAGTAAAAATACAATATTTTTATATTGGAAAGGGAAAAAGGGGAAAAAGAAAATGCAGCTTAACAAAATTGTACACAGCTTTCAAATGGAAAGTCCTGTTAGGCTACACTTTAGACACTATAATAATTATCTTCTCTGTGTAGAATTTGAGGCTTTAGCTCCTATTTTTTTATTGTCCAAATAATGTGGTTTATTTTGGACAACTTCTTTTCTTTTTACAAAGTTAAAAAGAAATATAATATATATTTTCTGTTTCTACGTGAAAACTTAATTATCTTTTAAAAGCAGGAGACATATTGATTAAAAGACTTCACGGTATGTGAGGAGATAATGCGAAAAGTTATGGGTGTAAACTAGATAATATTAGAAAGAGAAAAAGGGCCTATTTGTTGTCTAAATATGTTTGAAAGCCCCCCAAAACCTTTTGACTTCTCTTAAGTTGCGGATCATCTATCTATCTATCTATCTATCTATCTATCTATCTATCTATCTATCTATCTATCTATCTATCTATCTATCTATCTATCTATCTATCTATCTGGTGTCGTTGGTGTCCTAGTGGTTAGGATCTCGGACTCACAGCCGTAAGGTTGTGTTTTCAAATCCTGTCAGTGACCCTACGTTGTGTCCTTGGGAAAGGCACTTTACACGAATTTTCCTCACTTCAGCCAGATGGAAATGGGTATTCAGCTATAGACAGTGAAAGATCTTGTCAGTTTGTTAGATACATTTATTAATTTAATTGTTAGATAGATTTAAAATGTGGTTTTTTTTTGGTAAGTGTTTTACTGCGTTCATAAGTGCATAAAGTCATATAAGCGCGGGACACACCAAACATTTTCAATTGGTAGGAAATTTAGAATATTGCCCGAGTGGCTGCCGAAGCCTACTTTTATCGATTTTGGACCACCAAGGGATCTTTAACGTACGCAACTTGCACACAGGACCTCCGAGAATTTCCGTTATTGTCCGAGAAGGCTAGCTGTAGATCTTTCCTAAAAGAAGATCAGGGGTGTCGCTGAAAGATAGCAGCAAGAAGGGGCCAAAGAGCAGCTGCAAAAAGGCTGCAGAAAGTGTCAGGAGCCCAGTGGAGGGGGCGAAGGATGTGAGGGGGTCGGGGAAGAAAGTGGAGTCGAAAACAGACGACATAATATGTGAGGCAGCGTTGTGGAATCAGGCTCTTGTCAAGATAATGAAATCGAAGAAAACAGCAGTTTTCTCCATGCATAGCATTTTTTTTCAAATTTTTTTTTGGCTGAACACCTTTTATGTCCATTTACAAACACATACCTTTCAGGATTACACCGAAAACGTCGATTAAAGGCACAAATATATAAATTTACAGTTTCCATGGACTCTCCAGCTTTGGAATTTACCAAGCTATTGCGGCCATTTTCTTGCTAATTTTACCTCTTAGATCTGGTGACCCCCACCTCCTTCAATCCAAAATATCTCCACTTCTATTGAGGATGGATGGGTAATATTTTCATTGAAAGCAAGACAAATGTACTAACTTTAAGATGATACCAATAACTCAATGTGCCCAAAAATTGACGAGAGCCTGATTCCACCACGCTGCCTCACATATTGTAAGAGAAAAGGAAAGAATGCGAAACTAGACATTTTTAAAGAAACATTTTTTCGGTCGCTTCCCAGATTCAAACCCGTGACCTTTGAATGAGAGGCGAAAACCTTAACCTCTAGATCACGAGAGCCACCCCCCCCCCTTCCTCTCATACATTATATTATATATATATTATATATATATATAAATAAATAAATATATATATATAGATAGATAGATAGATAGATAGATAGATAGATAGATAGATAGATAGACAGATAGATAGACAGATAGATAGAAAGATAGATAGATAGATAGATAGATAGATAGATAGATAGATAGATAGATAGATAGATAGATAGACAGATAGATAGATAGACAGACAGATAGATAGATAGACAGATACAGTATTACTGCATTCTTCTTCTTCTTTTTTAACAGTTGGACGTTGCATTGCGCACCTTTTTGCACTAAAATACGAACTCGTCTCTTGATATTTTGCCTGAGTGAGTTGTTTTTGTTACAGGCCAGGATTTTATGTCCTGTTCCTATCTTCTAAGCTTCTAGGTATCCTCTGTCTTCTCCTCCCTCGTACCTCTGCTTCTCAAATAAATTATCTACTGGTGCATGCAATACAGAGTCAACAAAAATGGAACTGGTACAGCAAACTTTATTTTGAGCTTACATGTAGCGCACAAAATGTAAGTGACGATTGTCGTGAGAATTTTGCACAAAACAGTGCGGAAGCAAAGACTCCATTGCATTAATCTACCCATATAGCAATGCGTAGTAATTATATATTAGTAGCCTATTAGTGTATCTAATGTTGTAGACATGCATGTATGCATTTTACTCATATTGGGTACAGAGAGGGTAGTTTCGAACTTATCGACGCCTAAGGAAAAAAAAAGTAAGCCTAAGTTAGCCTACACAAGGATGAATAGATAATATAAAAAGCAAATAAACAAACAAAAAATACAGAAAATGAAGCACCCCCCCCCTCCTCCTTGCAACCCCCTCCTAGAGAGATGGATGTATCACCAGATAAAAAAATGAAGTAAGAAATGAGAATACCAAATTTAGTAAACAAGCACTTCAGACAAACTGAAAAATTTAATGACCCCCACCAGCTCCACGCCATAAACCCAAAGAAAAGTTCAGACCCAAAATCTAAAGCGCAATAAAAACCGTTCTATCCTTTGATCTATTTAACCGTAGACTCAGTTTTTCAGTCATAGAACTGCTCCAAAACTTTCATTCCCGTCCTGAAAGATTCATACTAAGGGAACTTAAGCAAATGGGTTACAGGGAACGATCAGGGAAACGTAGCTTTTTTTAAAGCATCGGAGCAAAGGAATGAATGGAGAACCATGGTCGCCGATGTCTGCCGCAGATCTGGCACTGGAGGATGATGATGATAGATTCATATAACTATGAGTCCAGACCAGACATGTATTCACTTTATCGTGTGGAGTGTGCTAATTAGAAGACAACCACTTAAAATCCATGTCCTTCAGTTCTCTTTCTTTTTTTGATACCGCAATATGTATACTTTTCATGGCTTTATGTTTTGATAAAGAGGCGTCGGTACCCTTGTGGGTAGGCTACCGGACTCGCAATCGTGAGGTTGTGTATAGGTTCGGTGGTTTTGAGCCTGAGCTCGGCCAACGTTGTGTCCTTGGGACAGGCACTTTATGCGAATTTCCCATTTGGATTGGTCGTTTCTGAGATATACGTTGAACTTGGAGGTCCCGCCAGTCAAATAACCTAATAATGTTGATAGAGGCGTTAAACCTATATCATTTCATCTTTTTTTTTCCCGACAGAACATTTTTGAATTTTGAGCAAGCATCGATAACAGCGTTTTCAAATAACAAATGTACTGTCATATAATTGCTTGAGGAATACTCTATCCATTCAATACTTTACTTTAGTTAAGTTTGAATTTTACGGCGCTCAGAACATCATTAGGATATGTGGACGCGAGAAACACAAGTTGGGTGCATTCACAACACACCAGTTCACAGCAAGGCTTGGTTTTAGTCAATGATCAGAATATTAAATACATGTACTTCAAAATTTTACGGTGAAAAGGTACATCTTAGAAAATAAAAAGGACCATTTACATTACATTATAATAACTTTTATAGTTTTGAATCATGGATTCAAAATTTATTTATTCTCAGATGATGAAGACTTTGGAGAAACAGTCCGAACAACACATTGAGCAAACGGGTAATGCTACAGGTGCATGTTATTAAGCAAAAGGGCAATCTTTGAACTACAGAGCCAAGTTTGAAAACATGAAAATAAAAGGAGCTGTTTGAACGAGCGTTAAATCAATTTATTCATGAGAATATATGGGTTTAAAACATGAAATAAAAATGTATTGTTAGAACGAGAGTTGAATAAATTCCAGAATGAGACAAGGATGTAAAAGATTAAATATAAAGGTCCTGTTACATGAAAAAGCAGCAGTAACCCCATCTGCTTACAAAACAATGATCTTGAAATCATAAAATTTCAAAAAGGTACTGTTAGACAGAGCATTAAATCCATTCATGAATAAGATACTGATGTAAAAGACGACATATACAAGTTCTGTCACATGAAAGAAAGAGCATTACACCCATCTGTTTCCAAGATAATAATCTTTTGAACGTGTCATTTGACACTTATATGACAGGAAACTGCCTGTGGTTTTTTTCCTTATTTTTCATAATGGTAGTCCATGAAGCGTTTATCTATAATCATATTCAAATTAGTCCCTAGTCAACAATGTAACGGTTAGCCACTGTTCACGGCTAAATTATGGATAGGAGCGCCGCTTTGTAAGCACGTGGCATGAGATGTAGGAAAGGGGGTGAACGAAGAACATTTCAGAGAAGAAATTTTTCTATCACTGTCAGGTTTAGAACCCAACACCTATTACATTGAATGAGAGGCGAACACCGTAATCTCTAGACCACGATAGCCCTCTAGTGTAGGTCCGTGATAACACCCAGCTCACGATCTATATTCTAACTGTGAGCTTGAGAAAAATGAATGAAGTGAGTAAGAACCAGACACACAAAAAGACGACGAAAGAGACGTTGTTAATGATTCTTCCTATGCTCCTGTACTTGGTTCCGACTTCACGCTCAGCATCATTAAGACTGTCCGTATCCAGGATCTTGCTCATTCTCTTTCCTTGAATTTGTTCTGGTTGTTCGAGTTTCTCTTGGTTCGAGGTGACGGGAGATTTCACCTTTTTGGCAAGTGCTTGACAGAAGAAACCCATGAAAAAACTCCTCTCTTCCTCCTGAATGCTGTTTGCGTACCTCTGGGGAAACAAATGATATTAGCAATGTTATGAAAAAGACTCCAGCGTTTTATTTAGGGCATACCTTATATACTATTTAAAAATACAAAATTTGCGTTGGCAATGTGTGTCCGGAAGTGCTCACGTTGTACGGAAAAAAGTAATTGTAATTTTCTAGACTTCTGTGTTGGATGGAGAAAGCGAGTGGCTGGTAAGGGCTGCTTCTTTCCTTTCTCTCATATTTCTGTCCATGTCTTGCTCCTTTCCGGTAGTAAATAACCTTTCATAATAGTGTCAAATTGCTTAAAACTACAACCCCCCCCCTTCCCCCAACAAACAAAAACAGAAACAAAACAACACCATAATTATAAACAAAAGGAAAAACCTCTGATATTCAGCGATGTTTTCTTGTCTGAACTGGATATATAATTAACTATCAAGAAGCAGACTATATAGATCTACCCATTAAATAGTTTTACAAACTTGTTTATCTAAAGCTAAAGGTCTTACCATTACAACGTAGACGCAGATTTGACCTCAGTGCAACACACGCAAAAGTAGCAATATATATTATAGCTAGGAATCTTCCATTTACCAGACACTCCAAAACTCACCTCGTCTAGATGATAAAAGAGAACGACAACAATGCTGAGGACGACGGTCAGGAGGGAGATGATGAGGAGGACGAAGATGTAGATAATGAGGAGAGACACGGAGGTTGAGTCACGGGGCAGCATAGAGCTCGCCATACTCATGGACAGCGCCAGAGCCAGAAGCACGGTGATGCCTGTGTGAACACGGATTTAGACAATAAATAGCAAAACATAATGTTAATGTTAATAATAACAATAATAATAGTAATAATAATAATAATACTACTAATAATAATAATAATGACGATGATGATGATGATGATGAAAATGATAATAATAATAATAATAATAATAATAATAATAATAATAATAATAATAATAATAATAATAATAATAATAATATATGATAATCGTCATAATAATAATCATCATGATAATAGTAATAATAGTATATAATGACTAACTGGTACGTTTGGTGTGTGTTTAGTATCCCCTTCACCAGTGTTTTTTATAAGAAGGAACCCTCCGAATTTCAGGCCATCCTCCTACAGGACAAAGTCAAATCGGTGGAAAGCCGTGGAAACTGCTCTAACAACCAAAGTAAAGTGAGCCGTTGTAGATTCATACCACTGACCTAAAACTATATCTTTTTAGATCAGTGATTCATACCTCTGGGTCTTCCACATAAAATAAGTGGAGCACGGTACGAACAGTACTTGAGACGCATCTTTCGACATGTTCATTAAACACAATGTTCACACTCCTTCTGTCGCCTACACAAGATTGTCTTTTTTTTGTTTCAGTACAGTGTTTTACGGCGCTCGCAACTGCATAAGGTCATATGAGCGCGCGAAACACAAGTTAGTTTTGTTCACAACAGTTTACTGTACGGCTGGCTAGGGTCAGTATCTAAATCTTAAAAATGTTAAAATGTTTAAAAATCAGTGTAAATATATATATATATTTTTTCGATCTAAAACAATTTTTCTACACAAATCCCAAGTAAGGTAAACACGATTTAAAAAACCCATAAAGTGAACACTGACAGCCTTAATGTTTCACAATCCAACGTGTTTATGTCCAAATATTCCAAAATAAATGAAGATGGAGCTACCACAATTATGAATTTGAACTTTCTCATCGTAAAAGGATAACTGCTCTCGACTGCATCAAACCTTGGTGCGCAAGCAGCAACCCAGCACCCCCGCGAACCTCTTTTGCTGTAAGAGTTCTTAAGACGGCGAAGGTACATAAAAGAAGTCAAAATTTGAAGTAAAAGAAAGTACATTTTAAGGTTATCGACATTTGTGTTACAACGCGGTGGAATCAGGTCCTCGTCAATTTTGGAGCACAATATTTAGTTATTGATATCATCTTAAAATGTGCTCATTTATCTTGCTTTCCATGAAAAAATTACACCTCTGTCTTCAAGAGAAGTCGAAATATTCTGGAGTGAAATAGACGGGGTCCCCGCGTTTTAGAAGTGAAATTAGAAAGAAAATGTCTGCCAAAGCTTTGTTGACTTCCAAAGCTTGATGGAGAGTCCTTTGAAACTGTAAATTTACAGGTTTTGTGTCTTTAATCAAGTTTTTCTCCAAAATCGGTACCGAAATGTGATTTTAAATAGACAAAAAAAAACGGTGTTAAGCCAAGATACAAAAATCCCATAAAATTTGTCAAACTGGCAGAAAAATGCCAGTTTTTCACTTTCACTATTTTGACGAGCGCATGATTTCACCACGCTGCTTCACATTTTATTTTTGAAATATTGCCAACACAATTCTTACCGAAACTGATTTTCTCTCCAGACTCCTCTGGTATGAGGAAGACCATGATGTTGAGAAGAGAGAGAAATACGATGGGTAGAACAGTGTTCAGCAGTAAGAACACATGGCGTCTCTGTAGTCTATAGGTAATCTGTGATAAACAAACAAAAAAGAAAAGAAGAAGCTCCCAAAACCCATCTTAATGGGCAATAAATGTCTTGCTGCGCCTAATAATACTGTTTCTTTATTAAAGATATGATTTAAAACTTTAATAGACAATTTAATGCCCGATCCTCATTATTCTTAAGGATTTGACTGAATGCTGTAGGTTTGTGATAGCGAATAGTTTTTCAACTACATTTGTAAAATGAAACAAAACGTATCCATCACTGCATTCAGCTTTTGGAGACATAAAAGTTGAAGTTGATCCCATAGTTTATGTAGCAATAAGAGTAGCAAAGCCAAAAACACACGTGTGGCATCCTGGTGAAGTCAGGCGCTCGTTCAATTATGAAATAAAAGAAATCGACATATTTTCACTCCTTGGGGAATATTATTTTTTACTTTGGCTCAATATCACTTACGTTTATTCAAAAACACATTAAAATTTCTGTGTGGATTTTTATTGAAAAACGTTTAACAATGGCACAACTAATAAGTAAATTTGTAGTTTCCAAAGACACTAAAGTTTTATAAGTCCTTCATAACAAAGCAAAACAAAACAGAAAAGCAACAAGCAAACAAACAAAAACAACAAACAAACACACACACACACACACACACACACACACACACACACACACACACACACACACACACACACACACACACAGACGCAAAGCCCCACAAAATACCAGACAAGCACACGAAATGTAATGAACAAAAGTCTTACAACTATAGCAGAGACGTTTGTTACTTGAGGTGAATTTTCAGTGTCCACGCTAGCGTCGACGATGTTCCACTCCCCGTGAGACGTCAGGGAGTTCACGTCTACTTTCTTCCTCAGGGGGACAAATTTCAGTTGCTGGTCGTTGTAGGACATGCTGAGGAACTAACCAGAAAGAAAAACAAACAAACAAAAATATTATTATTTTGCGAGGCATCGAGGTGAAAGCAGGCACTCGTCAAAATAATGAAATAGAAGGAAAAGGCACTTTTCCCATCAGTTTCGGATTTTTAAATAGAAATTTTGTTTGTTGGTTAAACACCATTAGATCTAAGGTTTACAATAAAACACACTTCCATGTAAATTTTACAGAAAAGCCTTGTTTAAAGGCACAAAGTATGCAATTTTCAGTTTTTCAGGACTATTAAGCTATTTAAGTTACCAAACTTTGGCGGCTATTTTCTTATTAATTTAACAACTGACACCAGGTTACCTCACCTTCTTCAATCGCACATATCTCGGCTTCTATTTAAGCTAGATGGATATTCTTTTCATTGAAAGCAAGGCAAATGAATAAGCTTTTAGATGATATCAATAACTCTACATACCAAAAATTGACGAACGCCTGATTCCATCGCGTTTTAAGACTATTATTTCAAATGTAGGTGTTTTAAAGGCCCCTAATTTAATAAATCATTGGGGAGACGGGTTACGCGTGGCTCTCATAATATGACCTTATAATATTATAATTGGGAGCGGCGTAAAATCTTACTAAACTGAATCTGTGGGGATGGGTTTCTGACCCTTTCATTTGGAGCCAACATGGGTTGAGAAGAATACATCTTAGCAGAAAGACCGAGATACTAAATAATACTTCTCCTCTCTTGGGAATTGAACTCGGGTCTCCTCCAACTGTTCAGTGCCTGACCACAATATCACAAACACTGGTGGAACTTAATAGAAAAAAGAATTAATAAAAGATAAACTGATTAACGAACTTTGAAGGCTTTGGCATTACGACGCATACCAGAACGGTGACTTTTTTGGGGAAAATATGAGAAGATAGGTCAAGAAAGGTTAAACGTACATGTATAGTGGAGGCTACTATTCCTTTTTGAAGAGAAGATAATACGAACTGTTTTTTAAATTTATTTATGTCTGCACCACAAATTAAAAAGAAACACAGGCATTGTAAGGACAAATAAAACACACCCTGATTCAACCAGCTAAAAAAAAGCGATTGGTAATCAGTACACATTATCATGTCAATGATATCGTCTGAGCGCTTATATAGACCTGGCACTATTTTAAGATTACGTATAACTCAAATTCCCGTTTAACAGCAAGGTCTGTGCGCTTTACAACCCATAATATTATTACTGTCAAAATTGTATAAGATGCCCCCCCCCCAATTGTCAAAGAGAAAGTGGGCGTTTAACTACAATGCCATAAACATATTTTTTTTCAATTAAAAAAATATATAAAAAATACCGTT